GTATGACTCTTATAGCAATATAAACAGAGGTCTTGAGAATGTGTAATGCACTTAGAAGATTTAGAAAAAAACACTTGAATATACTTGGAAGAATAAGAAAGTTCTCTCTTGTCCCTTTACATTTCTTGTTTATTCTCTCACTTATATATTGCTCTTTTTAGTTTTACTTTTCTACATCTTTTCATTCTTGAAAAGTTAAAATGTTATCTAATTGTATTTATCTTCACAATAATAAATGTATTGATGCTTGTATAACTATCTTAAGACACTTGTATATGTCTACCTTCACATCTTTTGATATATATATATATATATATATATATATATATATATATATATATATATATATATATATTGAATTTCATTTCAAGATTTATTGATTTCATTGTATAATAATCAAACATTGAGGTTTGATGTTTATCATATTCGTTTAAAGGAATAAAATTCTTCAAATAAATCAAAAGTATCATACAGTGACACGAAAAAAAGTTCAGTTGTTAATTTTTTTTTGCTTTACTAGAGTATAATAAAAAATATCATGTAGTGGCTCAAAGGTAAGTAAATTGTTATGTATTTTAGCTTTATTATAATATATAACTGTAGAAGCAATTTAATTTATAATATATTTTAAAGAATGAAATTTTCAATCAAATTCTTAAAAATAGATGATATAATCACAAAAAATATCTAAAAGAAAAATACTTGAAATATCTACCTATAGATTTTATCGTTTGTCTGCAAATAATTTCCTTAATTTAATATAGTATCTGCTACTGAAAAACTAAAAGTGCTTAAGAAAATTAATATTATAACTAAAAAAAAATATATGCACAAAAAAAATATCTCCACAAACATTTGACACTCACATTTCAACTAATTAAATGTCTAAAAGAATCACAGTTCAATATAAAATTTAATTAAGAGAAAAAAAAAAAGAAGAAATAGAATATGCATATGGGTTTCCTTAGTTCATGTCTTCACAGCATTTAAGTATGGTTATCGGAATTGTTAGAATAGTTATATTTCTGTAAAACTTGAATGTTTTTTCATTACTCCATACTCATTAAGATATTTAATATTATTACTGTGTCATTGATTAAAAAAATTAAGCTCAAAAGAAGTATATACATCTTGCCCGTTAGCCTTTTCTATAAATTCTCAAATAGATTGAACATATTATTTTTTTTTAGAGAAAAGACACAAAGCGATATCTCAAGTTGTTCTGAATTTTTAAAAAGACATTTTAAATATGCAGATGTTCTATTACCCCCTAAACTATTCCGAACATATATTATTACATCATTTTTGGATCAATTCCAAATTCTAAATGGCAAGTGTAATCACACACCAATCATTGTGTGACACGTGTTAATTCAATTTGAAATATTATTATTTTTTTCGTTTTATATTTTTCTTTATTTCTTTCTCTTGCTTTTTGACTTATTTTAGTTTTATTATTTTTATTTTAAATTCATTTCAATTTTTAATTCATCTTCCATCCCAACTTTAAAGCTCCCTCCATATTCTTTCTTTATTTCTTCTTCTTCACCTCTTATCTTCACCTAACCCTACACCCATATCAAGTTGAGCCCCTCCATTTTCTTTCTCATTTTTTTCTTCTTATTTGGTCAAATTTCTTACTTTCAAAAATTATACTATTTTTTAGACTTTGTTGAGTTATTGATAACAAAAATAATTATGTTTCTAAGAAAGATCAAAATTTTGAAGGTATCATCATTTAATTTATCTCATTTCCATATAAAATCAAAACAAGAAATGATAATTTTGAAAGAATAAGAATTCTCCGAAAAATGAAAAAGTTTAATTAGAATTTGAATAAAAAACTAAATAATGTCTACTAATCATCTTGAAATCTAATGGGTTTATCACATTTTTTAAAATGTATTAATATATGTAGATATAATTTTAAAATTAAATAGATTTAAACTAATAGTAGAATAAAAGAGAGATGGAGTTTTGGTAAAAAGTGACATTGAAAGTGAAAAGTTAATAAGATGACAATGAATTATTGAAGAAGAAGGAAGAAAGAAAAAATAATAATAAGGAGAAAAAGTTAAAATAATAAATATATATATTTGTGTTTTTAGTTTGTTCACGCTATTTAAGAGAGTGTATACACTCTCCATGTCAGGTAGACAAAAAATGATGTAATTAATATTAACTCGGGATTGTTTGAGAGAGTAATAGGACAGTTACATAATTTAGATGTCATTTTAAATTTTGGGACAACTTTAGATATTACTTTATGTCTTTTTTCTTCTTTCTTTTTTTAGTACTACTCTATGTATTTAACAATCTTGAAAACTTGAAAAAACTTCATAACTTGATTTAAAAAAATTGAATACCATTATATGTATACCTACTCACCAAATGAAATGAATGAGACTTTTTTTTTATTTTATATTCTAATCTATATTAATTGTGAATATACAATGAGATTTGGTTTTTATAAAGGAATTTCATGATATCATGCATTTATTTAATTATTTATGGAGAAGCAAATATCTAATTAAATAAATAGATAACTTAGTGACGAAATATATATATATATATATATATATATATATATATATATATATATATATATATAT